ATGCCTCTTTGTTGACTTGTTTGTGTGAGGGATGGGGCTAACGAATATCATGGAAGGTTTACTACAGCCTACAAAGGGCAAAGATCGCCTTAGATAGTCGGTCATGGTCTCACGTGAATTTCATACATCAAGTTATCCGACGCGTGACCGTAAAAAAGAGGTCTGCCTTCTGCTTTGCAACGCCACTACTGGCACTACAAGTGTTGTAGTGTTGCAACGACAGTTACATGCAGGGAGTAGTACAATACCACTCCCTGCATGTAACTGGCCTTCCGAGTTCCACATCCGTACAGTACTGAGTGTAGGTTTATCCCATACACAACCGAAATGATCACATGATACGCTCTCTGGCCGACATGTATACGGTACCAAGAGTATATAACCCTCATGTTATGTACTCTTGATAGTACACCAGCAACACGACTCAAGTCTGTTGTAAATCTTGGCAACACAAGTCTTCCTCCACACAGCTGTTTCCATCAAGCAAGTCTCATCAGTGAAGGCCACTGAACGGCCAGAACCGTTGTCAATAACACTGTTTCATCAGAAAGTTGGTTGCTCCCCATACCGGAGCTCGCTCTATTCCGCCGACTTGACTTGACTTGACACTTGACTGACTCACGACTGCCATCCAGAGCACACGAGAAGTCCATCGAACCTTGAACCCCTCCTTCGAAGGTTCGATGATTCGAGGGATGGACTTCTCGTAGTATAGTATATTAATAGTATTTATTCATATTTTTCTAGGGCAGTCCCCACAGACCTATGGTCTCCTTACGGGGTACCCTAGCCAATCTAGGATTGCGATACGAAATTGACTTGGTGAAGCAGCAAGGCGGACCGATGCCGGAACTAAGTTCCAGGGGTCAGCGGCTAAACAAGAAAGAGAGGAATAACCAAATCGGGAGGAGGCTCGTGGCAGTACAATTCCAAGCGAGACTTGAGACCTTGTGCAGGTGCGGCTACGGGCACGAAGGCAGAAAAGGCGGCACAGAAGTGAGCTGGCAGAAGAATGAACGCATCTGAATACAAGAAGATACAGTTTAAGGGAGAAACGGATAGTGATGGGTGTGAGGTTGTTTCGAGACAGAATACACTGGACATCTGCGGTGGGTGGGTAGCCAAAGTCGTGCTACTCCGGTATTGGGAGCGATCAACGCTCCTATAAATGTATCGCCGAAGTCGCTACCATTATTTCGTACTACTTCAGCACTTCCGACCAACCTTACCTCAACAGACTCTCTCTCCGAATTTAAGCAGCTTTTCGTAAGCGCACTTTACAGCATCGATTATTCGATACTCTTGCAAAGACTTGACCTTGACGCTATAATAATATTCTTCTGCTTTTCTCTTCTTTTTTCTTCCTCCCTCTCTTACCAATTTTCCCATTCCACGTATTTCATCACTCAAGCGAAAACAGGAAAACCCCTCGACAGGCGAACAGCCTTTGGGGAATCCTTAAGTAAATAAATACAATTCTACTTCATAATAGTGTCACATTCACAATGCTAGTATTTGAACCTACATTGTACAAATACTTACACACGGTGACACCATCCTTATGCTTTCTTCAACTATCCTCTGGGTGACTCTCCTGTTGAAGATCAATCGGGCTGTTGTGTAGTAAATGTAATAATTATACATGTCAAGTAAGTTACAAGATCTCCACCAGATCAACGACCAGTGACGACTCGTGACTACCCGCTTGTCATGCACACACCAGCTCCTAATAATTGGGGGGGGGGGGGGGGGTAATGCTCGCGGACAGTTTCTGCTCGAAGAGCATTGAAATTGACAGTGTAATACCAGCTTATGGTGGGCAAGTACATGTACTGGAATTCTTCTCCATCCTCATTATGCCAAACATGTATTTAACATTTCGCAAGCTCCACTGTGGCCACTACATTACATGAAAAACCCTTCACACACCATCCTCATAGCAAGTGGTCTCTTCGCTGCAAATTCATAATTTTCTCAAACAAATTTTCGGCAATGCAGGAGTTCATCAGGCGTGAGGAGAAAAACAAGTTGGGTGGACCTACCGGTACATGTGCATCATGCAACACAAGACATACCGGAAATTTCAAAAATACCACGTTTTGCCGGTTTCTCTGGCGGCATTCTCCACTAAGGGCAAGTCCGCATCCATGATACTGGCAGTGTACATGTATGTGTTTACCGTGGCGTTGGACTCTTATTGGGCCCTCACTCGCGGCTCAGATGAAATGTTTTTGCTCAAGCAAACAAGAGGAACACTGTTATCCACTACACAAGCACTGTTCCGATTCTTCAACACCAACATTGTGAAAAGTTCCACAAGTAAACTGTCATGCCTTCTCTTCCGGCGGTGTATAGGTAAGAACTGAGAGGAACAAGAACAATGAGTTCAGTACGGTACAGCAAAGCTGAGGCGGCAACTTGAAACGTGTCAAGAAAAAAAATTCACGGTTCGCGTGAGACTCGGTTTCTCTATTTAGAAAAGCGATCCTGTCAGCTTTTCTATTATGTTAATTATAGAGGCCGAGTTTTCCGCATCCGTAGGAACGCCACCACCCTTCAAGGATCAAGGCGCAGATGCAGCTCCTAAAGCGGTGGGAGGTGAGTAGATCAGCTCACCAGCAGGGAGTGGTGCTTTCTTGCAGGTTTGCCGAGCGGAAGGACAGGTGCAACGTGCTCCTCGCGTGCTCCGGATGGCAGTCGTGAGTCAGTCAAGTGTCAAGTTCGGCAGGAAGGGTGGTACGGTGTGTTCCTCGTTGGAACAAGTACAACCGACTTCATCACTACCGGTAATACCGCCGAAGTTGCAACTTCTAAGTTTGTATTGTTGTCCCTCACGCGGATGTGCGACTAGTTGTTGGAGGTGACAGTGTTGTGAATAGATAATGGCTTTCAACGTCTGTTTAGCACAACTCCAAGAGCGACTCTGACTCACGCTGCTGAGGCCCCAGCACGCCGCTGGGGCCTCAATAGGTGTTTGTCGCACTGGAAACGAAGCGTCTCTGTAAGTTGTTATCCCTGGTGATGGTTTGGCCTGGAGAGCACTACATAAGTGGTGCTTTTCAGGCACAATCTTCCTCAGCCTACTCAAGCTCAACTGATGAGGGGTGAAAGCCCCGAAACACTGTGTATTGAGCAGGGAGTGGTGCTTTCTTGCAGGTTTACCGAGTGGAAGGTGCGACGTGCTCCTTGTGTGCTCCGGATGGCAGTCGTGAGTCAGTCAAGTGTCAAGTTCGGCATGAAGGGCGTGTTCTCGTTGGAACAACCAACTAACTACTTCATCAAAAAATATCACCGAAGTCGCAACTAAGCTACTCCTAAGTTTAATTCTCATCTACTCTAAGTTTCCTTGTGAAAATTTTCACCATGTTTGATGTGGAAGAACCTGAATTGTGTGCTCTTTGTAGTGTTCTAGCAATTTTAGCGCTTTTGTTCCGGTGGGATCAATGTAACAATGTTATCCTAAAAATAGCAGTCTTCTTTTGAATCTTTTCAAACTGTAACATTCTAGCTCTCTCTCTCTCTCTCTCTCTCTCTTAAATACCGTTCCAGACAGGAATGTGCATGTGCATGTGCGAGGTCTCTCTGCATGTGTAGGATTTGACACCTATTGCATGCTAGTACGTGTAGTAGTAAGTAGTAGTAGCAGTTCTTAGTTACTGCATGTGTGTCACGTAACGTCGTTGTCACTATGCAGCTTGTGGTGTTTGCTCAGATTACGAGTCGAGTCGTAGCTTCTACTTTGTGAAGCTGTTGCCTGGTGTTGGTGTCGCATTTCGTACAGTGTCCGTGTCACTTTGGGTTTTTGATACCCCATTTTCGCTCCTATAAAAATATCATCCCATCAGTTTTGACCCATTTCCCTCCCCTGTACAAGTAACAGCTTTCATGAACACTGATCGTCTACGATTGTTGCAGAAGATAGTTGTACCCACATTTACACAAGAGAGAGAAAAAGGGTAAGCTATGTTGCAACTCCGAGTTGCATGTAGTCACGATCATCAGGCAACATTTAATTTTTTTAATTTTTATTTTTAGTGTTAATTTGAATTCGGATGAACATGTAAAACTAAAGCTCTGTGGTTTTAGCCTTTGCTGTCACATGCATAGTGGAGAGATTCTATGCCAGGATGGAGAGGATGATTGATTGGTTGGCTGGTTTTATTGGAGTTTGCAAACCGAACTCATGTGCGCTTTTGACTTACCTCAATTCCTGGGAGGCTGGGTTGAGCCCTGACTGCTAATTGCAATGTCATGTACATGTATTTCTAGAAGAAAAATGGCTCTCCATCCGAGTCCGTACATGTATTTCTCCTCGGCAACACTTTCAGTGACAGTGGCATGAAGTATGGTCCTTGCATGATCTTTGCTGTCACTCTCTGTGGACTTCACAGATCAGATTTTACTATTTTATTACCCATTCTGATTTAGGCAGGTGCTTGAGATCCATGTGACGACTCGAACTGATGCCTGGCAGCAGTGGTGACTGATGTCCATGGAGCGCCAATGATGACGCCGCAACACTCCGCATGGAAGGATTCCGCGCTTTCGCACTTTCATCTACATAGTCATTACTCTGCATTGCTGGTGTGGCGGGCATACCGGTATGCGGAGAGATGAAAACTCCCGTTGGGTCCCTTCAAAGCATGCCATGTCATCTTGGTTATCCATGGTCAACAAGACTTTGCCAGCTGGTGCAAGCTCCCAGCTTTGCTGCTAGTAAAGAAATGACTCTGTCCGTCGCTTACTGTCAGCTTGCTGACAAAGATTAGGCCTTCACGTGCTGCACCATGCCTGGGTGCCATTCTTCTACGACAGTTTGTCAGTCGTTGCGGCCAGTTCGTGGTCCGGGTGGTCAATTGGAAGCTTTTTGTCCCAGCAAGCCGCCACTACTGGCTGGTTACGGGTTAGAATGAACAATGTCTTACTGGGACAGGACAGGATCATCAGCTGTTTTTCAGTGCATGTGCGGCTCTGCCTCCCAGTGGATTGCTGGACTCGGCATACCAACATGCCCGAATAGCAGTAATAATACGCTCTGCCGCTTTGCCGTGCTGCGCTGTTGTGAATTTGTTTGTTTCAACCTTTGCTTGGACGCACTGCGTGGCTGATAACACGTCGTTTCAGTCTTTCAAGTATTCCTCACTCCGGCATAGCAGCAGCGGCAGCAGCAACCTCTGGTAATTTTGAACGAACCCACATAAGTCATTGGTGGTAAGCCCCGTCTGGTTTCCTCGGAGCGCAAGCTTTACCCACAGACGTAAGCCTGTATCGAAGAGGTGTGCATGTTTTTGCCACCGCAATAGTTTTAGACAGCTCCGGGATTCTGAGGACTCCAACGAAGTGCATGGCAAGGTGAGGGAGTGTTTCCCGATCGCCACTGCTGGCATCACACACGGAGAAGAGTTGGAAGCACCACGTCGAAGCCTGCTGACGGCGTGGCCATTCTCTCTGGCATCGCCAAGTCGTAAGCCAGAACAAGAAGATAGTGAGACGGCGCCGAGGTGCGGACGCTTGAGTTGATACAATGGAGAGAAGAAAGCTTTTGTGCCTATCCATGCTCAGCATGGTTCTGGTTGCATCGTCAGTGGAAGGACAAATCGATGTACCGGTAAGAAAAAGATTCGCGTGCGCAGATTAGGAAAGAAAAAATTAATAGTTGGGGGGGGGGGGGAAGGCATTGCTGAAGTGCTGAGTGTGCTGTGGTCAGAAAATACAAACTCTGTAATCTGGAGGAGAGGATGTGGACGGGTGTCAAAAATAGCCTTCGCGGTTTAGGGTTATCTAGCACTCAGCAGCAATCAATTATCGCATCCCAGTGACTCCTGCAGCTGCAATCATCCAGTCATTCTGGGGTCTGATGGAGTACTCGTACATCCTGGATCAAGAGTGAATGATCCACTCTTACAGTCTTACCAGTAACATACCATACCTGCAGCAAAAGGATTTTCTAAACATGCACTAGATACTTACTACAGAGCTGGCAACTGAAATCCGACCCCTTAGCGATGCCTTCACATTCTACATTTTGTAGCGGTCTCTATTTCGTAGTTTTACTATCGCGTGTTGGGTCTTTGCGATGTGAGCGCACCGCTCAGGGGTCGGATTTCAGTTGCCAGCATTGTACATGACGGGAGCACTGATTTGAGAATTGTTCATGTTATGCAGTGCGACTCCATTATTGAACAAGCTGAGTAAAAGCAGAAGGGATTGAAACAAATGAAGCACAAATGGATATGCTGGTAGGAAAGATAGTGATAGTGAGTGCATGAGCGCAGGGTGTGATGCAGGTGGGTTATGTAATGAAGGCGGCACATCGCGCACGACCCATAACCACAGCTGCATTCTCTTGCTTATGGACTCTGGCCAGTATGCATTGTTATCCTGTTTGCAAAGGGCATGTGGCGACGTGAGAGCGTGTGCCGCTGTTAGTGTGTGGCCCATCGCGAGTGTGTGTCATTTTTGAAAAGAGGCGTAGATGTGTTTCAATCTTGCCTCGCCCGAAACAAGAAGGGGTTTACTATGGCAGCTCTCATCTTCTGCTATCATCATTCTACTGGCATGCTATCAAAGGTGTGTCTGACTGCAGTACTGTTAGGTGACCCCCTGACAGCATTAGCCTAAGCATCCCATTGCTTTGCGGAGATATGTAGATGACTCCGACGGTCGTGAACCTCTGACAAACATTATGAATGTCTGATTGTGTGTTGTGTGTTGTGCACAGCGGTTTCTAAGAGGCAACAAAGGAGTGAAGGGCCAACCAGGTACGGTGGGACAACGCGGGCCAAAAGGTGACCCAGGAGTGAAAGGTCTTGAAGGCCTAAAAGGAACGCCGGGTGAAAAGGTAGGTGGTAAACTGTGTATGTTGTTTCCAAGACTGCATGACGCTGCTGGCGAAATGTGCGGACTTCATGCTTCATGCATGGTAATCAAAAGATGAATTGTGATTCCAGAGCAAAAAAAGGGTGAAAATATCGTGTGCGCGCGCGTGTGTGTGTGTGTGTGTGTGTGTGTGTGTGTGTGTGTGTGTGCGTGCGTGTGTGTGTGTGTGTGTGTGTGTGTGTGTGTGTGTGTTTGCCGCATGGCCGTGTCCATTTCAGGGAATTCCCGGTGATACTGGCGAGGAAGGTATTAGTGGCTTGCCGGTAAGTTGTATGCATTAGCAGAGTTTCCCTGGTCAGTTCACAATCTGGCGAGGTATGAGTATGCATGCATGAGCATAGCTGGTCAGCAAGTCACCTGTGGGAATTATCTTCAACTAATCTCTATCAGCTCCAGCTTCAATTCCCAATGCTACACTGATGTATTGATGAGGATGTGCAAATCAGCTGCGCCTCGGCGTGTGTGCTTGGAACAATTGGCATGACAGGAGCATTTAGGTAGTAACTCAGCATGTGCGTGCATGTGTATGCATGGACGGATGGATGGATGTGTGTGTGTGTATGTGTGTGTGTGCACGTGCATTCTGCATAGCCAGAATATGGCAGCGCGTCCAAGGTCCAACGTGCATGTGTGTGTGTTTGTTTATAATATGGGCATATGTCTGTATACATGTATGTATGTGTGTATGTATGTGCACTATCTGTAGGGTTTGAAAGGTGATGTTGGTGCGGCAGGTCTCAAAGGCATGACCGGAGATGATGTAAGCCATGAATACATCTACATTGATTTTGAGAGAATGTGTATGGCAAACAAATATCACAAATGGACTGTCATAGTTGATAGTGAATCCAATCATTTCTACAATTGTAAACGAAGTGGAACCTACCGTATTTTCCGGAGTATAGTGCACACCTTTGTATAACGCGCACCCCCAATCTTCATTGGGGGTGCGCACTTCAATCTTCATTGAAGTACATGCATTTCATATTCGGAGCATAGTGCGCACCTGTGATTTAGGGCCTAAAATAGCACATCTAAAGTGCGCACTATACTCCGGAAAATACGGTACTCATTGCAAATGTTTGGGGATTTTCCCTTCTCTTTCTTTGTATTTTGTGAAAGGGGAACACGTCCAGTATAAGACATGTATTCCGGTCCGAAGTTGAAGGCCCTTGTGTGAAGGATTTTTCCAGCCGTGCAGTGACACACAAGTAATTGGAAACTCGTGACCTGGCCGATAAGGAAAGCATGAATGCAGCGAATGGGAATTCCGGTCGTTGACCACTTTGGTGGTGGGTCTGATCTACTCGCCTTCCACTACTTTAGGAGCTGCATCTGCACCTTGATCTTAGAGGGCGGCGACATTCATGCGGATGTGGAACATCTTAAATTGACGTTCACGGGGCCCATTCTAAATTTGACCAATGACAGAGGGTGTTAGGGCGCTCAGCATAATGGGGACAAATCACTTCTCTTCTTTTCTGTGTCACCTTTGCCGCAACAGACATAGTCAGATACCCAGGGCCGGAGCGGGCGATCAGAATTTATTTATTTCAAAAAGTTGACCACCCTACTAAAAAAAGAGATTTTCCTCCATAATGTTCATTTCCGGTCAAGTACCCCATTGGGTTGGACCACCTGAAATCCTGGTACTACGTCTCTGGTACTCACACACACTATCCTATGGTAGAGTGAGAGAGGAAGGGGGGGGGGGGGGCATCCACTGTCGATATCTTGCACAGTGCACACTATATGCATTTCTTGCATACAGTGTTTAGTCAGTCGTACTGGACTATGAGTTACCCGTTCCTGTTTGTGTGTGTGCGTAGGGTCTTCCTGGAGCTGATGGTGTTCAAGGAGAGGCCGGCTTTCCGGGAGCATTGGTAAGGAATCCGCAGAACAGTGCAATGTGTGTGTTAATGGTGTGTGTTAATGGTGTGTGTGTGTGTGTGTGTGTGCGCGTGTGTTTGTGTGTGTGTGGTCAATTCATCAGCCTTGCAAGCTGTTGAATGGTGTAATCCCAGCACAAGTTGCTATACCTAACATAGCGGTTCGCTATCATCGCTTCCGCGATGGGCATGTCTGAGTCTAAGTCTGAGTGTGTACATATGTGCAGACCTGTGTATGCCCATACATGTGTCTGATGCAGTTGCATGTCTGTGGGTGTCCTTGTTCTAGGGTGGGGCTGGTCAGCATGCTATGTGCATGTATAACAAATTGTGTGTTGCAACTAGCAGACCTAGCTTAATATGGAATTTGAGGATAACACAGATTTCATGGGTTATTGCTTTTGCATTCAAATCGCATCCTAGCTTCTTCAAACCACGGCCATTCGACTTTGGCACTTTATGATGTATCTTGGGGCAGCCGCTTGTGATGTAATCATGATTTTGCTGTGCATTCTGCACACAGGGTTCGGTTGGCGACAGAGGTGAACGTGGAATGGACGGAATGGCGGGCGTTCCCGGCGATACGGGAGAAGAAGGAGTACCCGGTCAGCCAGGACCGCAGGGAGACACGGGAGAAGAAGGACTTCCCGGGCCCGACGGACCCGATGGACTTGCAGGATTGCCTGGTGCGCCTGGATCAACTGGAGCAGACGGTGACAAGGGGGCCACCGGAGAAACAGGTAGAGACTCTCTCTCTCTTCAGATTATTCACGCAGTTGTTGCATGGCGTGTGCATGCCATAGACGTGTTTGCAAGCATTGCAAGTCAAGCTTGATATTGCTGAGGTGCATGAATGGACACATAAGGGGTTAAAGGTGCGTGTGTGTGCGTGTGTTTGTGTGTGTGTGTGTGTGTGTGTGTGCGTGTGTGTATGTGTGTGTGACCGCACACACGCACTACTGATTCTCATACTTGTGCATGTGCAGCTTTATGGACATACAAGACGGAAGTGAGCACATACACATACTAGTTTGCTTACTGTAGTGTCTTGTATAGAAGCCTGTTTTGAATACAAGCCTGATTTTTAAGATACACTGTCAGCACACAAGCCTGGTTTAGTGTTGACATACATAGAAATACCTGTCTTGTACAGAAGCCTGTCTCATATAGAAGCCTGCAAAATTCCCAAAAAAAGTCATATATAAGCCGCGGCCTTTATACACTTGACTTTACGGTATGCTATCATCTTGTTTCTTTTCCGTCCAGGTCTGGCAGGTCAAGGTGGAGCCAAGGGCTTGAAGGGGGTGTCGGGTCTTGCTGGCGTACCCGGAGGGGAAGGCGATGCTGGAGGATCTATCGCTGGACTGCCCGGGCTTCCCGGCCCCGACGGACCTCCTGGTCCCGAGTGCATTGAAGGTGCTCCGGGGCCGAAGGGCCAGCCTGGCGACACAGGCCCGGCCGGCGAGTCCATCCCGGGCCAAAAGGGCGAGCCGGGTCCCAGCGGGAACGTGGGCGTTAACGGCTTGAGCGGCGTGGACGGGACGTCGGGCAACAAGGGAGAGCCTGGATCGCCAGGCCAACCCGGTGACAACTGCATACAATGTCAGAACGGTGCGGCGGGCGCCAAAGGAGATTCAGGACAGAAAGGAGTGGCCGGTCTGCAGGGTCTGAAGGGTGTCAAAGGATTCCCAGGATTTCCCGGACGGCCTGGCGCTGATGGCGTGGGCGGTGGCCAAGGACCTCAAGGAGAAGAGGTAATGGAGCAATGTTGCCTAGGCTTGCCGGCTGAATAGCAATAGACCTTATTCGATTAACGTCACAATCACGTGAACCGGGGTCCCGGGAACCAGGGAGTGGCAAGAGACCTGCACTCAGTGCACAGTGGACTCGGCGTGGGAACATTGGAGTAGAAAAATACCGGTACTTTACTACTCCCTTGTACGAACTGGGCCTTTCTTGCCACTCGTTTCACGTACGCGTGCCCCAGCTTACGACAAATCCCTGGAGGCGAGTCCAAAAATCACGTTATCGAATAAGGTCTATACATGTACAGAACTGTCATTGTATCTTTGTATCAACAGTTGTTTAGAAGAGTTTAAAGGATGCAAATTGCTGCAAGCGACAAATTTTAGATTTTCAGCTGCGTGTCCAGAGGTACCTTCAGGTAAATTTTCACATTCAAAACCTGAAAAATCCATTTTCAAGACCGTTACCCATATCATTTTAAAGTAAAAACTGCACATAAAACGTATCCTTTCGGGCCATTGTCCGAAAAGCAATGAAATGAATTTGTCGCGTTTTGCATCTGAACTCTTCTATTTCGATTAGACAGTATTCTGATATGGTCTGTAGGCGGATTGCACAGCCCCTACTGGAAGCTACGGAGGCTGTCAGTGTCTCCGGGGTTACAAGGGTGGATCCAGGAGGGGTTCCGCGGAACCTCCTAAATTTCATAAATGTACTGCTGGCAAGCATATGCATGTCCATGTACATGTATCAGCTACTCAGTGTTGACTATACTGAACCCCCTGTGGAGATTGCTGGACCCCCTGTAAAGATTGCTGGATCCGCTGCTGGGCTATACTAGGTAGCGTTGATGTGTGGTCACTAGGTATCCCTAGCTGCTGGGAATTACATTACATTGCGTTGCTTTACTTAGTATTTGAAGCACAACTGTCGAGCACCGCACGCACACACGCACACACACACACACACACACACACACACACAATTGTCTAACCATGAGAATATTTTCTTGTGTGACAGGGTGTTGCTGGACTGAAGGGCGACAAAGGAGATGAGGGACTGCGTGGAGTGGCCGGTTCCAACCTGGTTCAGCGTGTCTTTGGTTTCAAGGGATTCCAAGGTAGGTAAAACCTCCGCCCAAGGTTAGCGGCAGTAATGGCCTCTCAAAAGGTCACTCGATGCTATGATAACTGTTTGGTTTCTGCTGCATTGTTGTGTGTATTGATGATGCGTGACGATTATCATGAGTCTCGACTTGAATTCAACCTGGCTTGACTGGCGTGAGGAAGCCGGAAGCGTTCCACAGAATGCTTATTCAATACCACAGATGTCTAATGTTGTTACACACAAACTTTCTTACAAATTCACAAGCTCTCTTTCTGTTGTGTATGCAAGTTGCTATATTTCTACTGCACAGTCTCATGGTATGCATTGTGCATGCTGGGATTGATTGTTGTTGTTGTTTTACCTAACCAAGCCTTGAACCTACTTGGAGATGAGTCTGTGATTGCTTGTGAAGGATGCAACCTGCAAATGTACATGTATGCCAGTCCGCAAGGAGACAGGACATAAAGATTTCATCTTGCTTCTTTTCTGTTGTGCTCTAGTTTTCAGCCCTCTTGCTTGTCTTGTTTGCTTGATCCAGGTGACGTCGGTCTTCAGGGCTTCCAAGGCCTGCAAGGGCAAGTGGGACTGGCCGGCGAGAATGGTCGACAAGGAATAGCCGGAGTGCAGGGAGAGATCGGACAAAAGGTACAGCACACGGTCTCCAGCGCTTCCTGGCCTCTCCTATCCAGCTAGTGGGTACACAAGGGAATAAAATTATTGGCTCCGTGCGTTGCTACTGAGATACTGAGTACGTAGACACTACATGCATATCTTTTTTCACATTTGGAACTGCTATGTAAATACTGTAGTCCAAACCCCTATTGCCAAGGGAAGGAATACATATTCAATGGAATAGGCGTAGGTTGTATTCGGCCAGTATTCTTCCAGAGCACGTTGCCTGCATACTGGAGAAAGATGCCGCCTTTTTCAAGTGCACTCCATCGTTCCGAAGACTGTGAATACTCTGCATCGTGTACGGTTGATCCTTGCACGCAGGGCATCAAAGGAGACGAAGGCAACACGGGAAGAGCAGGCGAAATAGGCATGACCGGTGACGCGGGTCCCAAAGGTGCTCCCACCGTCGGGCCCAAAGGAGTCAAGGGTGAGCAAGGTGTGGCTGGACTGCGTGGCTTTGATGGCGCAGCTGGTCTCGACGCAGCTCAGGGTAAGAATTGCTAAGAACTTACGGTATCATTATGAGCCAACGCTGAGATAGGAGTTTGCATCCTTGAATAGAGTACTCTAATCTCAGAATTTTTATGTGCTCAATATTTTCGGTATGACGGCAAAAGGTCAGGTAAGGTGAACAGAAATTTTAGGTACAGAGAAGCAGTTCCCTATTGGATTATGTGTGTTAGTGTTTGTTTGGTGTATTGAAATTTTAGGCATGAAACAGATGCACCGAAAGTACCGAAAATAAAAGTACACCGAAATTTTGTGAAATTACAGTATTTGAAACACAGGTTGACTATAGTTCCAATCAGAAGCGTCCGATGATTTACTGTTTTATTTTTAACGCAGCGAATCTTTACAATATACTCCATCTCTGGACAGCCAGCTGTTTCTAGCTGTTTCTAGCTTGTTAGATCTGATCAGCTGTTTCTAGCTTGTTAGATCTGATCAGCTGTTTCTAGCTTGTTAGATCTGATCAGCTGTTTCTAGCTTGTTAGATCTGATCAGCAGAGCTCCCTGTGACTGCCGCCCAAACTGTTTGCATTGACGTCTAGTGAACAACAAAGAAATTGTTAATTAAACCGGTTGAAACGATCACAGTATACTGTTCACACCTGCCATGAAGCCATCCGTGAATAACGTGGTGCCCGTGTACTGGAAAACCTAGATTGGTGGCTGCGATAAACCTAAAGAAACCCGACAAATTAGTTCTCTTTTCACACATACCATATTGTTTCTCCTTGGTGGTGACTACATCCCATGTGCAGGCCAGAAAGGAGAGAGAGGCATCATTGGAATCACCGGTGAACTCGGAGTAAATGGCGAGGTTGGTCCACAGGGAAACCCAGGCGTGAAGGGAGACCAAGGTGAAGAAGGTCTGCCCGGTCCGCCGGGAGGCAAGGGGGATATCGGTGTGGAAGGAAGCGTCGGCATACAAGGTCAGTTGAACGTGTGTGTGTTAGGACAATGTGATCACTGCCACTGCTCATGTTTGATGACTGTACCTGATATGCATGTTTATCACTCTTCTATATCACCCTCCATTAATTCCTGAGATGCTTGACTGGTCCTATATTACCCATATGGGCGTAATATCGACCGCTTGTATCGACCGCTTGTATCAACCACTTAGACAGTGTAATTTTTCGACTTTGGAGGTTGTGCAAAGTCAACATTTGATAAAACTTTCCATATACCTTGAAGGTTATGCTTCTCTCTGTATACAGTTTTTCTCTGTAACAGTTTACATGCGCACCATCATGAATTCAGGTATTATTGCAGGTCTTGTTCTTAGTGCAGTCAGTGTCTGGCTGTCAATGAGTCAAACACATAGCCCTGCACAGCGACGATGACAGTGTGATGTATTGCAAGTGTGGAACTTACAGATACTACGTGAATAAACTATCTCTCTCTCTCTATCTCCCCCCCCCCCCATCTCTGTCGCTCTCTCTCCCCCCCCCCTCTCTCTCTCTCTCTCTCTCTCTCTCGCTCTCTCTCTCTCTCTTTCTCTCTCTCTCCCTTTCATCTTGCATATTCATGAACGTTCATCATCGTGTGCGCCCTTCATTTCCAGGTGTTATTGGCATCAAGGGAGAGAAAGGAATACCAGGCCCACTGGGACCCGCAGGTGAAAAGGGAGACGTCGGCACATTCGGTCTGAACGGCCCGCAAGGACCGAAAGGCTTCGAAGGAGAATCAGGTACGTTGCACCTGTGTTGCACTGGCTCAGACTCTTAGTCGTGCTCAGACTGTAGGCGTTTTCAACCACTTTTGCTAGCACAACACTGGCTCAAAGTAACTCAGTTAATAGTTAGTCGTTTTCTACTGTTTTGCTTGCACAACGCTGCCAGTGGTTGAAAAATGTTCGGAGATCATGTGATCATGAAGGACATCGTCATTGATCATTGTGCCTGCTATGCCTCCACCTCCCCGGTGGAGTACATTGAATATAGGATCAGCTGTAAGGAATCATCTCTTCGCACCGGGGTGTAGTTGTTATCTGTTTGGCTGAGTTTTTCTAGACGTACCCCGGAAAGGCTCTGGTGCTATTCTGTTTGTGCATTATCAGTGATATGAATGTTGTTAGTACTGCCGATAGCTTCATCCCAACATGTTTTTCATAATCAACACTTTGTATCTCTTTTGCACTTATTTTTCCTTTCATTTCTTTCCACCCTGTGAAGGCTTGGCTGGAGTGCAGGGTGGAGCTGGAGGCAGGGGTCTAATGGGACGCAAGGGAGCACGCGGCATCCAGGGATCCCCTGGCCTCAACGGCGTGATGGGAGAACAAGGCGAAGACGGTCTTCCCGGACCACCGGGAACACGCGGGCAGAAGGGCACGCGTGGAATTCCCGGAGAAACCGGAGAGATTGGTATGACTGGAGAACAGGGTATCCAAGGAGAGGTGGGGGAGACCGGTGAAGTCGGAAACAAAGGCGCTCTAGGTCCACAAGGTGAGAGACATTCTGCATAAGTATCCAGCTCTCAATGCCCATACTGGGTATATACATCCTGACACTATCTGGATGACGTTGTTGTTGCTGTAGCTGCTGCCGTCGTCATCGTTATTGTAATCAATGTTCACGTTTTGTTTGCAATATCAATTGTGAAATCGCCGAATCCACTAAAATGCACTTAACACTAGAGTATGGAGGTGAGCTAACCCCTCCACACTGACCCCTCCACACTGACCCCTCCACACTGACCCCTCCATACTGACCCCTCCACACTGACCCCTCCACACTGACCCCTCCACACTGACCCCTCCACGCTGACCCCTCCACGCTGACCCCTCCACGCTGACCCCTCCACGCTGACCCCTCCACACTGACCCCTCCACACTGACCCCTCCACACTGACCCCTCCACACTGACCCCTCCACACTGACCCCTCCACACTGACCCCTCCACACTGACCCCTCCACACTGACCCCTCCACACTGACCCCTCCACACTGACCCCTCCACACTGACCCCTCCACACTGACCCCTCCACACTGACCCCTCCACACTGACCCCTCCACACTGACCCCTCCACACTGACCCCTCCACACTGACCCCTCCACACTGACCCCTCCACACTGAAGTCAGCTAAGTTTAAACAGCGGCTGCAGCTCGCCCAGATACCCAAGATATTGTGATATTTCGGGTGTAGATAGCACACAAAATTCACAAGCACAACACACACACTCTCTCTCCCTTTGGTTGGTTGGCATTGAGGGGCTGCTGCGCAGTACTTTACATACACATGAACACACTGTGCTGCACGTACACACGAGCGAGTAATGATAACTTCCTCGTATTAGTTTCGACTGCTAGTAGTCTCTAAGAGTGCATGGCCTGCGTTTGGATCGCTAGTACAGCGTCCCATCTGTCTAGGTGGAAATAACCATCGTTAGAATGTAGATAAAAGAGAGGTTCTGCAAAACGAGAATGTGTACGAACTGTCGCTCTACGTCACGAAGTGAGAAACTTCGCACGAAATTGCGCAACTTTGGACGCGAAACTTGCAGGGAACGCGAAATGAACTTTCGTAGGAAGTTTCGTGAGATCGGGTCATGGTGTACGTGCACTTGGCGCGTGCAAACTACGAAAATGTACAGAACACAAAGTTCTTGCGAAAATTCGTACACATTTTCGCAAGGCCTGTCGCGAAACTTCGTTCGAATTTTCGTTGTGCAGAACCTGTCTATTACCAACAATTATAATACTTTGTGTGTTAAGTGCGGAGTGCTGTGTACATGTGTGTATCCGTCTCCAGGTGGCAAGGGAATCAAAGGTGACGAGGGAGAACCGGGACTGCCCGGACCACCCGGCCCGACTGGCTTTGACGGCGAACCAGGTCCAGACGGATTCCAGGGAATTGATGGAGAAACTGGCCCCCTCGGCCCACAGGGTCCCAAGGGTGATGCCGGCGATGAAGGCTTCCCCGGACCACAGGGTATCAAAGGAGAAAAGGGTGAGGAATTCAGTCGGATCCATTTCTGAAGTCCTGATTGGTTGTATGCGCTACACGATGTAACCATGAGTGAAGTGATCTGTTCTAGAGGAGCTTGGTACTTTCGCAAATGTTCATGCAGACTCTTTGATCATTCAAGATCAATTTAAAATACAAAAAACAGGCTCCTTGTTGATACCTGCTGCTGTCCATGATTATAGGATTATGGTAGTGTTCATGTTGAGCAGACGTGCAGGCTTGGAGTAAACTTCCAGAACGTGTGCAAGCCATTCTCTTCACTCTGTCTTTACTTTGTTTAGGTATTAACGGATTCCAGGGACAGGGTGGTGTGAAAGGTGAAGCAGGTCTGGGAGGTGACCAGGGGCCGCAGGGCCCACCCGGCTTTGGAGGCGATCGCGGTGCTACCGGTGCTCAGGGAGCTGGAGGCCTTCGCGGTATGGTCGGTGACACCGGCAGCATAGGTCTCACCGGTCCACCTGGCGAGCCGGGCCCGAAAGGAGAGAGAGGCGACCAAGGTCTGCAGGGCCTGCAAGGCATTCAGGGACTGCAGGGCACCAAGGGTATGAAGGGCGAGGAAGGAATACGCGGCCAGGATGGTAGCAACGGCTCGCCGGGAGCCAAGGGCGAGAAGGGAGTGCCTGGACTGACTGGTAAGTTAAACACTCTATTCCTCAGAGAACCATAGTCTGTCACTCCAGTAGCATATACTTGAAGTATGTGTGTTTGGTATAGTTTGAATGTTGTAGTGTGTATGGTATAGTATGAATGTTGTAGTGTGTATGGTATAGTATGAATGTTGTAGTGTGTATGGTATAGTATGAATGTTGTAGTGTGTATGGTATAGTATGAATGTTGTAGTGTGTATGGTATAGTATGAATGTTGTAGTGTGTATGGTATAGTATGAATGTTGTAGTGTGTATGGTATAGTATGAATGTTGTAGTGTGTATGGTATAGTATGAATGTTGTAGTGTGTATGGTATAGTATGAATGTTGTAGTGTGTATGGTATAGTATGAATGTTGTAGTGTGTATGGTATAGTATGAATGTTGTAGTGTGTATGGTATAGTATGAATGTTGTAGTGTGTATGGTATAGTATGAATGTTGTAGTGTGTATGGTATAGTATGAATGTTGTAGTGTGTATGGTATAGTATGAATGTTGTAGTGTGTATGGTATAGTATGAATGTTGTAGTATGTATGGTATAGTATGAATGTTGTAGTGTGTATGGTATAGTATGAATGTTGTAGTGTGTATGGTATAGTATGAATGTTGTAGTGTGTATGGTATAGTATGAATGTTGTAGTGTGTATGGTAGTGTTGAAACGATCCCACCGGATACTCGTTAGCTCGCTCGCCAGAAACTCGGCTCGTTTGTGCGGCCAGCTCGTTTGCACTAACGAACACCGTACACCGTACTCCGTACACATGGCAGTACATGTCGACCGGGGAGTCGTAACATATTTTACGACTCCCTGGTCGATCGAGAGTCCAGTCCCGCGCAAAGTGAAAATCACTCGCAGTTACAGGTGACTGTATGCCTGCACGACACTTGAGTTGTTTCAGTTGTCGTTGCAGCTTTGGTGGACTCTACTGATGTCTTGTTCCGCATCTGCTGACCTGTCGCAGGATATGCTTCGGTCACCTCTCCATTCGAGTGAAAGTTACGCTCAGTCGTTTGGAAGTTTTCTCCCGCTTTGCAGCGAAGACCAGGGCTACTTGCAATCTTTGCAAAACGGTCTATTATTACAAAGGCTAATCGACGACGGCGCTGAAAAGACATCTCGACACCAAACAGCAGTCCGAAGTGAAGCAGCAGCAAACCCAAAAGCCGGCGGTGATAATTTGAACCAGCTGAAAAAAATCGAACTTAGAAAAAAAATTATTCAAAAAAATAATCATATTATTTGCCACATCAATGAAACTCGTTAGCTCGCTCGATAGCTTGCTCGTTAGTGGAACTGATCGCTCGTTTGTTATAGATACGCTCGTTTCAACACTAGTGTATGGTATAGTATGAATGTTGTAGTGTGTATGGTATACAGGTCGTCCCCCGTTAATACGAGTCCGGTTAGTACATAAACCCCGTTAGTACATAAGAAATCTCAAGTCCCGGACGAAACGTGGTCACTTCCATACAAATTTTGTCGGTTAGTACATAATCCGTTAGTACATAAACCCCGTTAGTACATAACATTTCTCCGTACCCGCATGTCACCTACCTCAATAGTACATAATTTACTGATCTTTTGGCCTTCCAGTGGAGGCACATCGTGTTCTAGTTTCTACTTGTGGACGCAATAGGCATAGAAATCAGAGCGCACATCACAAACCGACAAAGCTCTGTTTTTTTGCCGAGTGACTGTACTACAGCCTACAGGCCGCGGCTGGGCATGTACCATGTCAACTGTAGAATCTTCGCTAAATGTGACCGTTATAACATAATTTTTATGTTATATCGAGGGAATCAAGAATATCTCGCTGCCTAGTCATGGTAGCAAGAAACACTCAGAAAAGTTGAAAAAAGTGAAAAATTCTGGTATACAAGCAAGTTATGTACACTTTCGTTTAGTACATAAACCCCGTTAATACATAACATTTGTCAAGTCCCAGAGATTATGTATTAACGAGGGACGACCTGTAGTATGAATGTTGTAGTGTGTATGGTATAGTATGAATGTTGTAGTGTGTATGGTATAGTATGAATGTTGTAGTGTGTATGGTATAGTATGAATGTTGTAGTGTGTATGGTATAGTATGAATGTTGTAGTGTGTATGGTATAGTATGAATGTTGTAGTGTGTATGGTATAGTATGAATGTTGTAGTGTGTATGGTATAGTATGAATGTTGTAGTGTGTATGGTATAGTATGAATGTTGTAGTGTGTATGGTATAGTATGAATGTTGTAGTGTGTATGGTATAGTATGAATGTTGTAGTGTGTATGGTATAGTATGAATGTTGTAGTGTGTATGGTATAGTATGAATGTTGTAGTGTGTATGGTATAGTATGAATGTTGTAGTGTGTATGGTATAGTATGAATGTTGTAGTGTGTATGGTATAGTATGAATGTTGTAGTGTGTATGGTATAGTATGAATGTTGTAGTGTGTATGGTATAGTATGAATGTTGTAGTGCGTATGGTATAGTATGAATGTTGTAGTGTGTATGGTATAGTATGAATGTTGTAGTGTGTATGGTATAGTATGAATGTTGTAGTGTGTATGGTATAGTATGAATGTTGTAGTGTGTATGGTATAGTATGAATGTTGTAGTGTGTATGGTATAGTATGAATGTTGTAGTGTGTATGGTATAGTATGAATGTTGTAGTGTGTATGGTATAGTATGAATGTTGTAGTGTGTATGGTATAGTATGTGTGGTTCGGGGCACACAGTAGGCAGAGTGGAGTGCATGGTTTGTTGAAATTCCGAGTATCAGATTTTAGCTATCATCAGACATGCTAATCTCAGGGCCAGGACTAGATATACCTGCCAAGCTTTCTGTTGACCTTGTTGAACCAGGATGAATCGGGAGATACAGTCAACGTTGCTATGACGACCCTCGAACATGCACAGGATCAAGAGTACATGAAAACCAGAGTGTGCAGCTTGGGGCCTTTTCTGCTATGGGTGTCTGTCACGGCGAAATTCCGTAATTACATCATATTTGGCCCAGATCTGAGGCGGGAAATGGCGTAGTGCGTACAACTGAGCTGCAGTTGTGCAGAAAGAGACCTGCTTGAATCCTGCTTGTACGCACTACATCACTAAAATGATGTAATCACGGAATTTCGCTGTGACAGCCACCCATCCGAGCTGCACACTCTGGTTTTCATGTACAGTCAACTTCGCTAATAACGACTTCGGATATAACGACAATTCGCGAATAACGACAGAACTTCCATGCCCAGAGCAAAGTCCCATCCCACTGTAATACATAATAATGAGACTTCGGGTATAACGACACTTCGCGAATAAGGACACCTTTTTGATGCCCTGCCGAGTGTCGTTATAAGCGAAATTGACTGTACTCTTGACAGGATGAATCGGGAGATACAGTCAACGTTGCTATGACGACCCTCGAACATGCATGAGAGAAGTTCTGTTATTCATGAGGTTGACAGGATGCCGTCAAGTGGCCACTACGTCTGATGATTATGTCATGATTTTGTGAATTGCGGCTACCGGTATATCCGAGGTCGCTCTTCACAAGGTTGACCGTGCCTATCATTTGTGTCACTATGCGTACGGAGGGCCACATCATACTATGTTCCCTGCATGATGTGCTGCGCTCAAAAACCTCGTTCAACCTCAAAGCCGTGCAGTACTTTTCGCTGTCCATGCTGTTGTTCAGGTGGAGAGGGCATGGGCGGAAATCCTGGAGAAACGGGTGAAGCTGGACCCAAGGGTAAGAATTAGCGCTATCCTTGCCAAATCACACAAGACAACTTAGTTGTAACAAGTCATTGTTACTGATGTATTGTTTTATCCTTCAAGTATACTTGCAATTTCATGGCCCGGTCATTGAGCTCAGTTGAAGCTTGGCCTCAGCTTGGGGCATGAGTCTGATACATTGCCAACCTAGACACAGTCACTGATTTTACTTCACTTCTCTCTCATGCCCTGTTTTAGACTGTAACAGTTGTACGTATATGTGATGTTTTGTGCCGAGAGACGAACGCCAGTAGCTGATGGGTAGTGTCTAAACACAATGCACGTCTAATGTTATGCGGACACAAGTTATGGTGCGATGTGGCAACTGAAATTCGAAACTCAATGTGTTTGTTTTCTCAGGCGAAAAGGGAGGTCAAGGAGAGGATGGCCTCATTGGCGACTCAGGCGATTTCGGTGAAAAGGGCATCATCGGACCAGAAGGTGACCAGGGTCCGAAGGGTCTTCCTGGTGCAGTCGGCTCCATTGGTGTAGTTGGTCTGCAAGGACCACAAGGATTCAAAGGAGACAAGGGTGGCCAAGGTCCTAAGGGATTCCGAGGCTTGGAGGGCGAAATGGGTGGCGGGGGACTTCAAGGTATGTTGTGGAATCTGCTACTGCTGTTGTTACTGTAAATTCTGTAAATTCTGATCTCATTGTGTTCTTTGCTGATCATGCTCTCCTTTCTGCCCGCATAGCTGAGGCTATTGTATTGTTAGTTGTCCTTGTTATGACTGTGTGGCATTTTCTTGTGTTGAAAGGTATATCATTAGGGTGTGCAAATTGGAGCAGGAGTTGTTTACGTTATCTGACACCTTATCCTGTGTGTTTCGCTTCTTAGGCGAAGAAGGCAGCAAAGGAGATCAAGGACAGAAAGGTGAACAGGGTATTCAAGGTGAACAAGGCGACCAAGGATTCCAAGGACCCACCGGTGGACAAGGACCCAAGGGAGATCGTGGAGAGACGGGTCTGAAGGGATTCAAGGGAGGCAAAGGCTTGCCAGGACCGGATGGTGACAATGGTAAGCTAGTACACTGTGCATCACCTTGATCAGGAAACACAATGCTAGGTAGATATTCAGCATCGTGACTTTGATGACTCACTGAATTCTATCATTGTAGTTTCTAGTTTTGCAGGAGGACTTGATGGACTCCCCCCCCCCCCCCCAACCCCCCTGCCCCCCCCCCCAACCCCCACCCCAGCCCTCCCCTTCCTCAAAACAGGCTTAATGAACAACCTCCGCTCCCCTGCCCCTCCCCTGCCCCCCCCCCCCCCTGGCGCTCCCCTTCCTCAAGACCGACTTGATGGACTAGCCCCCTCCCCGCCTCCCGCTGGCCCTCTCCTTCCTCAAGACAGGCTTGGTGGACTCCATCCCATCCCCCTCCCATCCAGGTTCACCAAACACTCACAAGATGCATGACCGGCTGTATTTCCCAGGTGCAGTAGTACATGGCATCACACTCTTGTCTGAGGGGAAATCCCTTGTCCAATCGTGCTGTCCGCCTTTCTCTGGTGCGTGTTCTCAGGAAATGCTGGACGCAAGGGAGAGTTTGGCACGGGCGGTCAGAAGGGCGAGAAGGGCATCAAGGGCATCGGTGGTGGCGTCGGTATACAAGGTGACGTGGGAAGCGCCGGCATCGACGGTCAGCAGGGTGACAAAGGTTTCCGTGGCGACACTGGAGATGAAGGACTAAAGGGCATGAAGGGAGAGCAAGGTCCAGACGGTAAGAGCTAATTCCTCAAGAGCTGTAAGAATATGGTGGTAAATTCACACTTTGCAGCTTAGAGAGCGTGCATGGGCTGGCATGTATTTACCGCCGTATTGCCAGGTGTGTATTTACCACCATGTGAATCAACCATAAGTACAGCTGCAATGGAGTCCTCAACTTCATTCAGCCGTAAGAATAACGTGTCAATTTCTTCATAAAAGTGGGCCTTTATCCTTTTTTAACAGAAACAGGGGAAGAAACCATAATTATACAAATGCTTGACATGAACTTGTGTTTTGTGATACTTGGAGGTTGGAGGGCCATAAGCTCCAATCATTTTGTGTTTTGCTTTGTTAACACATAACCCTATGTTGTACCGCACTGTCCTGTACTGCTTTGAACATTCAGGTGGGTTTGGTTTGACCGGCGTGAAAGGCACCAAGGGCATCAAGGGAGGTCAGGGTTTCGAAGGGTTACCTGGTGACCGTGGTGTGTCCGGCCTTGATGGAGATGTTGTGAGTATAACCAGTCGACTCCACTTATTACGACTTCCCATATTATAACAGATTTCCTGATGAAGCGAACCATTGTCCACGATGACATTGCGTTCAATTACAAGAGGCATGAACTGAGCATGTGGTCACCTGAGCTAAGCATGGTCAATGGGGATACATTCATCATTACTATTATTTCTCACGGTAGCCGTTGGCCAATAAGAGAGAGATACAATTAATAATGGTGATTATATGAGGCTATGAGGTAACATCAGTTGAAAATACGGTGATACTGATAGTTCAAGAGTTGATCGCTTTTTTATGTTCTTATTGGACTCGGCCAATAGCTACGCAGCCAGTGTAGCTATGTGATGATAAGGATACCAGGAGTACCCGGGCTCTTGTCGGCGTCTTCTTCTGACATGTATACGTACTGCCATGCTTCACTTTCTTCTTCTGTCTAGGGTGAGCAAGGCGAGATAGGTCTGAAGGGCGGCGATGGCCCGCGTGGAGTGAAGGGAATCAAGGGTACCCGTGGCGACAACGGAGCAGAAGGAGAGGTCGGCCTGAAGGGTCGCCAGGGAGACAAGGGCGGAAAGGGCTTCCCGGCGCTAGATGGACTCAAGGGAGTCAAGGGTAAGGCGAGTGCACGCATGCTGTCCATGAAGCCATCAGTAGAACAATTATGATCATCGTAAAACAAGAGTGAATAATCCAAGAGTGTGCAACTGCCTATACAATACAGTCGACTCCACTTATTACGATCTCATACTATTCTTCCATGTCAATCACTTCTTTGCCTTTTTGTTTGTGTTTGTTGCACTGTCTAGGTGATCGTGGTATTGGTGGATCTAAGGGAGACATCGGACAGAAGGGTGAGATGGGACCGCGTGGTGAACGCGGTATCCGTGGACCGGTCGGACAGAAGGGTAACCAAGGCAACCAGGGACCAAAGGGTATGTGCACAGTACACTGTACACTACTAGTATATGCTTTAGTTCAAGTGACTTCATGCACATGTAGTCATAGTGTGAACAAGGTCAACAATGCTTACATTCTGCTGTGCATCAAAGATCTGCACTGATGTGGCTTGTTCCATTCCACCTGGCATCAACAACACTGCTGACCTACCTTGCATTCAAGCGATGGTACGAATAGAGATTACAAATTTACAATAATACAAGAAGTGAAAATGGTCAGTATGAGAACAGAGTGCATTATGCGCAGGCTGTAGATAGTATACGAGATACTAGTGTGAATGTGAATGTGTGTGTATCTGTGTGTGCGTGTTTTGTGTGAGTGTGTGTGTGTACCTGTGTGCGCGTATGTGTGTGTGTATGTGTGTGTGTGTACGTGTGTACGTATGTGCATGCTCTGTACTGTATTTGTGCAATAGGTGGCGAGGGTGAAGTGGGATTCGTTGGCCAGAAGGGAAGCATCGGTGATGACGGAGATCCAGGACCGTCCGGTGCCAAGGGTGACCAGGGCCGCCGTGGTCCACTCGGAGAGCTTGGTGAACGAGGACCAAAGGGTCTAGGTGGAGATTTGGGCGACTTAGGTAAGGGGAATTCACTGTGCCTAAGGAAGAGCTGTTAAATCTGTTGCTGGTTACTCGGACACGGAGTATGCTTTGAATTTTTGCAACAGAAGTAACTAGTTAGCTAGATTGCAAACTATTGTGCTACGAGCATCTCCTTGTAGAATAAATTCTCACTTGGTGTACATAATACAACTGAGGCTGGGAGGTTTTTGGATATGGCAGTGTGGAATGTTCAGTTCCGACAATGTAGATCGCTGGAGCGGGCATAGAATTCAATCACAAGCTACACGCTTTTGTCGGTTATTGGCAAGGTCGCTAGATATAGGAACTGATATCTGAAGATAGGAGTGCAATTACATGCATCAATACCGGCATAACCCCATACACATATGCCGCTGCTTGCTATGGGTATAGGCAGAAGAATGCGTGTTGAAACTCACCATAGACTGTGCTCTGACCCAAACTGTACTGTACTCTAACCCAGACTATGCTTTACTCCAGCCCAAACTGCACTGTACTCAAACCCAGACCATACTGTACTCTAACCCAGACTATGTCCATGGAACATGTTACTGTGTACAGGACCTAAGGGAGAAATCGGCCCCAATGGCTTCCAAGGAATTGACGGTGACCAAGGAGACAAGGGAGGAAGAGGCTTCAAGGGAGAGACGGGCGGCAAGGGTGAACCAGGCGGCGTTGGCTTTCCCGGAAGCATATCCGGCGGTTGGTTGATCACACGCCATTCTCAGACGAACATCAATCCCGGCTGCCCTGTTGGTTGGACGGAGATCTACAACGGTTTCAGCTTCATGCAGTCGCATGGCAATGGCAATGGTCATGCACAGGACCTGGGCAAGGCTGGGTCTTGCCTGCGCCGCTACAGTGTCAGTCCTTTCCTGCAGTGCACCAACCGACAGGTAAGATCACACAACCACCTATACTGGATTAGTTAAGTGGATTTCATTAACTAAATGAGGGAATGTGCCTGTAGACACGGGACTGACCGGAGTGACTGCTGGTGATTGGCGTGGATTTGGTGAATTACTATTGGTATTGCTATCAAACGTGTTTGGGGAATTTTTCGGAATTACAAACGTTTGCAGTGGATGTTAAATTAGATTAAGTCCATGCTAATGGGATGTGTATGTGTGTGTGTGTGTGTGCGTGTGTGCGTGCGTGTGTGTGTGTGTGTGTGTGTGCATGTGTATTTTGGCTGCGCTCGTTGCCCGTATACTGCATTAGCGTTGTTTCACCACACCGCACGGCGACTTGACTTACTGGCTGGCCGGCACGGAGACCTTCATGAACATGCCCACCACCGACCAACAGATCATCCGCGACATGGTCAGCCGCTGCACTGTTTGTGAGGCACCATCGCGCGCCATCGCGGTACACAGCCAGACGTCGACGATACCGAACTGCCCGGAGTCGTGGGTAACGGTTTGGACTGGATACAGCTTTGTTGGGGTAAGGCTCAGCCTATTGTGAATTCAACATGTACTATCTCCTTATTGGGGCAATGGCACAATCGGCAAAACATAGCCGCTGGGAATATGAAATACCATGTGCCTGTATCTGATGGTATTGCTGTTTGATAGTAAAGCTGATAACCCCGGGAAACCTTGGGAAACCCTGCACAACCCGAGGCATCCTTGGGTAGCCCTGGGAAACCCTTGGAAACCCTGGAAAAACCTGTATTAGCATGGGCTGATATTGGGGCTTACCACCCTGCCGGGGCGGCCTTGGGCTGAACATCGTTGCAGTGTTGCAATAACATCTCTAAAGATACGCACCTGACAGATTCTACGGCAGTGTTCAGTGTTACACAGAATCGTCTCCGGGCACAACACCACAATTGTCCATGCCGTGACGTACATGAATGGCTCATTTTCAGTGTGGCCGGCACGATGAGCAAATAGGAGTCATTCCTGATGTAGCGCGGACACATTATGTATTCCTAGTGCACACGCTCTTACTTTTTCGTTCTCACACTGTAAATCGGCACTGATATTTGATCTACCATGCAAGTCGCATGCATGGAGTTATGGCTGACATGCCTCATGCTGGATATAATACATTTCTGTGTGGATGTTTTGTGTTGCATTTCTTGCTACCTGCTCTGCGTGTGCAGCAAGCGGTGCACGGTGGCCAGGGAGGTGGACAGGCACTCTCCTCTCCCGGTGCTTGCCTGGAGAACCTGCGAACGAACCCAGTACTGGAGTGTGACACGCACGGCTCCTGCACCCACCACGAGAAGACACTCAACTTCTGGCTGCGCGTGATCGGCGACGGAAATGCTCAGTTCCAGCCTCCGACCGCGGCAGAGAAGCTTGAGAACGCGCAGATCGCCGCCAACATCGGTCGCTGCCGTGTGTGCCGTAAAGAGGAGCCGCGGATTCTCCGGCCATAGGCACAGAACGACAGTGGCTGATGGGTGATTGGCTTCCTCACACCAACAACACTTCCATGTGTTGTAGTTACGAATAGATTTCTCTGCTAGTGGGCCGACTACAGCAAGGTACCTCACAGGACAAGCAGTCACAGTACACCACGAGACTAGCTCATGTGTGTGTGTGCACTGCTTGTCCTGTGGACCTCCGGACGGCTGTTGTGGTATGGGTGTGGAGGGGTGAATCCGCACCGCCATGTCAGTCGAAGTTATACTTGGTAACGAGCACATATTAAATGGCGGATAAGAAGCTGATGACAAGGTTAGCAGTGCAAGGACTTCAACTGGATTGTAGAGAACACTAGCATAAGCCAGTTCTGCTTTGGACACACACACACACACACAAACACACACACACATGCACTCATTCTCTTTGCTCACATACTGTAATATACTTCTAGAACAATTACAGATAATCAATGCGCAATAGTTATACAGCTGTGCGATCTACTAGTTATTGCAACCGCCCTTCTTTGAACATTCTTGTTGAACAATCAAACCGGATCCCCTATCCTAAACCTCTGTTTTTAATTCAATTCACCTAGTTTAGCACCGAACAAGGGACGTGCTACAGCAGATGCTGGTCAAACTCCACTCCATCAGTCTTTCTTTGCTTGTTCTTGTCAAATCCCATCTGTACAATATACTCTGCTGGTACTCACGTAACGTGTCGTTGTGTCTACTTGCAAGCAACGTGCTTCTTTATAACCAGTGTTGATAGACCCACCAATCTACAAGACACGATGGGAAAGTCCAAAGTGCCTTGAAAAATGGGCATTTCACAACCTACAACAGGGGAAGCTTGTCACGTTCCAGACCAGTCAACCGATCATGTGTTGGGAGTGGACGTGTGCGAGTCGTCAACAGCTCCTCCTTTGCAGTACATTGGCAGAGGAGTACATGTACAATTATTAGTTATGGCAAGACCAATCTTGTAGGATGTCGGCAATTATGCTAGTGCCAGTGCAAAGCGACCTTCACCCCTCACACACATCCAGACATACACCATACACCGTTATTTTCTTCTAACAAAAGTGTCTGCACTGTCATTCCGATGATTGTTTTAAAAAAATGCTATAATTTTGGGCAACATAATTCAATATTATACATGATACGGGGAATATCCTAACAGATCGATGAAGTAGATACTGTACAAGCAATGAAATCATAATAAGCACTTCACAGGAAAATGTGGCGTCAAGAAAATATAATACGCACCATCGCAAATAACTGAAACACAAAGTTTCCGGGATTCTGCCAGCAAGAAAAATAGATATTGAGACTTGAGCAACATTTGTACTCGTTGGTGGCTCTCTACCGGTAGGTGCCTGTACTGCCAAATTTGAAGCGGTACAGCACAAAACTGAGGCACTGCATAATGCCAATGTGAGAATCCGTTGAACATGGCAATGGCAATAATCTGCTAAAGATGACAAGAACACAAATAGAACAACGTCGCATACTCTCAATAATACTCTAGCCAGCGAGCATGACAGAACTCTAAAAGTTAAAGGAAATAGCACTAACACAGAATAGTGCTCTCCACACGCAGAACGGCATCTAACACGACAATGCCTACTAAGCCTCTACATCTCCGCATTTCCTTCTGCAGCCCCATCATCTGCGTCGTTGAAGGCCAGCTCGGTCGGGCCGCTCACCAGATTTTCCTCACTCTCGCCGTGCCCAATCTGCCGCTGTAAGTAATCAACAACACCATGTACAACACACATCAACAGCAGCAGCAGCAGCAGCAGCAGCAGAAGAAGAAGCAGCAGCATCAGTGCCAGTTACGCGAGCAGCAATCTGTTATTGCTCTTTTCATTTTGAATTTTTGGTCTCCCTGCATTCATATCATCCTTGGTTGGTGCACTCAATGAGGCCCCTTTTAGTAGTAACAGCAGTAGCTTGAATTCATTTCATCATTGCTTTCTGCGTTCAATAAAACACCTTTTAGTAGTAGCAGCAGCAGCAGCAGAAGTAGCAGAAGCAGTGACATTAGTTTTAAAGGCACTATCATACAGACAGATCCCAAGCAAAATGCACACAGACACAACGAGAGGAAGTTGCTGCAGTCGAAGAGAGTGATCGATGCACAACTAGGTACAGAGCCAAATACAGTTCAATAGAATAGAAACAAGAAGCAATGTTGCTGTTACAGACGGCACACAGGGCTGTCGACAGCCCAGTAATGCGTGAAACTTTTGGTGACAGTAACAACACTTTTGTTTTCCATTCTGTTTAACTGTACACACACACACACACACACACACACACACACACACACACACACACACACACACACACACACACACAGAGCATACCGCACACTTCACTCCCACTAGATCAATGCACAAGAAGATCATACGTCTTTGGTCTGGATATCTGGACCAGTCAGAGCCTTGGCAAGCCAGCGAAGACTGGAGGGAAAGACGGTGGTGAGTGGTGGACCACGGCGAGTGAAGACAGGACGCACATACTTCCGGTCAGCGTTGGTCCATACACGCACAACACCGGTGGCTTGATACTGTGAGTAGCGCACGTTGACTATTCCGGTTTCTGCCGTTCCTTGGAACTCCTGGAAAAGTGGGGAGGATTAGCAGTTTGAAACATACTGTGTATACATGTATAGAGATGCACTTCCCCTGGGCAGTACACGTTAGAGAGAACTATTGCAACTGTTGGTATTTCGAAGTATTTTTGAAACACAGTGCAGCTTAGAATGTTCGTGGTGCATGTGACGAATGACATGCCCCTCTCTAAGGCCTTGGTTATCTGCCAATGTGACCATGATGCAAGCATGGTGTGAGCATGGTGTGAGCAGGGTGTGAGCATAAAGTGAGCAGCTACTGCCAGCTATACTACCACAAGTAGCCAAAAAACGAAACCAATATTAAAATGTAATATGTCATGTCTAAATATGATATGATTTTTTGTTTGTTTGATGGGATTTTATTTATAGTTAACCAGGTACGCAGGCAATCGGCCTTCGTGCCAAACCGTTAGGCCATTCCACCAAAAGAAGGATTGTGGCAGTGTGAACAGGGTTAGTCATGGCAGTCAACACCGTGCGATGCCGTGCGCACACATACACGCATACAAGCGCACACCCACACACCCACACACACACGCGCACGCACACACACATACACACACACACACACATACACATATACATGCACACACACATACACACACACACACACACACAGATGCGTGCACGCACATACCCACGCACACACACACACACACACACACACACACATCACTGGGTGTACCTCAGTATCCACTGTACTGCTGTCATCATCATCTGGGTTGCTCTTCACGCCAATGCTGGAGGAATGCAAGAGAGAAGAAGCAAATACTTATAGTCCTCTACTTTAGTAGCCAGTGACATTCCCGCCAAGGTGGTGTTTGGTTATTTCAGACTGCTAAGCTGCATTATTATTTACCCCTTCACTGTGACTGTGGACCTTGGATAGTGCATATAGCCTGTAGATGCCATGATAGTGGACTTGATTCCACTTTGAATTATAGACTTTTGCAGGTCATGTGCCACCAGAACACACACACACACACACACACACACACACACACGTCAGGTATAAAAATGTGTGTATCAGCGCTGTAAATAATATTACAAGCAGAAGAGGATGATGACAGTGCACAAAACTTACTCAATCTTGAGATACTGCAATCCTACTGTTGTAAGACCACCGTTGACAAGAACAGTCACAAACACAATGACCAGCGTCGTTGTCAGGAATAGCTGACGTACTTCAGACTCTGTGTTTCGCATGGCCAGAGCGAAAGCAATTGCTCCTCGCAGACCTAACCACAAGCATAATAATTATTATACAAAAAATCAAAATGCCGATATGCATACACGAAGGATCGTACCCTTACTTCAAAGTACAAACACACAACAGAAGCACATTTACACGCGCACATGTCTCTTGAGGGATCTCCTACATTGGGTGGCGCCACTGCTCCACCACTGAGAGTACTCTTCAATTGAGCATTGGTTGCTTTGGAGGAGCACACCCTTGCATATGCACACACCCATTTGATCGCCACATCTCAGTCAAGCCTTACCTGCAAACAATAACATCTTCTGGAATTTGACTGGAATCTTGTTCTTGCGACGGAGGTTGGCGATGAAAGTCATTGGAATGATGTTGAGAGCTCGTCCAGCGAGAATAGCCAGCTATTGGTCAGGGGTCAAGGTCATTGCTTTTTAAGTGATAGGGGCCTGAAAACAAACGTACTAAAAATGATCGAAACAGCGCTGTTTCCGCTGTATGGAGGAAACAGCCCTGTATGGAGGAACAGCGCTGTATGGAGGAAACAGCGCTGTATGGAGGAAATTTGTATTTGTCAGTATCTATGACTGGGAGTCGTGTTGCTGGTGTGATGCGGTTGGCCAGACAGCGCATGTGGTGGTGGAGGTGGAATTGCTTCACTGGGCCTGAAAACAGATGTACCATTGCTTCAAACACGTGGATAGACTGGCCGCCATCACCAATATGGTAGCCCGCGGGAAGATTGGCTGCAAAGCCACTGAACCAGGCCCAGTGTGCTGCTGGCACTTCAATGGTCACGGCCATCTTGGATGTTTACTCACTATACAAGTCTACATAACATGAGAACTTTGAGAAGTGCTTGGTGAGTGAAGCGAAACATTTCTACCAAACACAGACGCCGGTACACAAGAGAACAGTGATTACGCATGAATTGCCACCTTTGAAACCAACACATCACAATGAAATACATGACAATGAAAATAACCGCCTACAGCACTCATCTGTGTCTCAGTCCGGGGGGGGGGGGGGGGGGGTGCGACCTATAATCGGGGAAATACAGTATATATTACCGTGCCGCACAGTTACGCTTTATCCAAGTCGTGAACAGGAGGATACGAATGAAAAGACGATGAATCCCCAGTTCCATTGATGATAGCGGAACGTGAACAAGGCCAGACCCATGTAGATGAAGACAAAGTTCTCAGCAAGGAGATTGATAAGTTCAAAGAACTGCACAAGAAAACAAGAAGAGTACACACACGATTTCATAATGAATTGAACCAGTGCAGGTTAATTCCCTTAGCATGCATATCTCAGACCTGAACCAGCATATTCCTGGGCTGTCCCCTGAGTTTAGGTGGGGTCATTTTTTCGGGAGTGAAACCGGGGAAACCGGTCCTGGCTGTCGCAATATTCACTGTCATATGTGTACTTCAAAGTAGTTGTAATTTTTTCATCGTCATCTTTTGGAGCTAGCTGGTGCAGGAGCAAAGTGCTTATCACGGGCTACACACTTACACTTCGACGATTGTTGGTTCTCGATACTAGAGTCGATAGGATTCAACTCCATCACAAGTAAGCTAGTATCAGGCACTGTGCAACTCTAGAAGTCTAGAAGTAGCCTATGACAGGCCGGTTGGTCAGGTTATCACCAACTTTGTGGCTACCAACGCATGTGTACTGCTGAGGAGGGCAAGTGTACCCCGCCAATCATATTATACACAAACTGTATGAAAGACTAGGGTAAGACCGGACCGATTGAAAACTCCTTCCGGCGGTGCTGTATGAGCAATGAGGAAGTGCACTGGGACTGGTCCAGGGCAGACTGCTAGTAGCCTTTTCATTTGGGAAGATTTCATTGAACAAAGCTGCAGTAGTACCTCACATTGAATTCAGCTGGGCGGAAGAAGTTTCGACCAGGATAATGTGTAACGACAATGCATTTATATAGCAAATTGTACCGGGGGATGTACCCAGTGTCCTTGTTGTTCTGTTCTGTATAGCAAATTGTATAATGATTTTTCCCCGCGGGGCAAATGCATGCACCAAAGTTGTTCTTACGGTTCTGGTCGTCTTCTTGGATTCCTCTGACAGGTTGAAGTAGGTGTAGTGTGCCTGTGTGATACCGCAGAACAGTACCGCCACAATACCTGTGCACACACAACACATATACCAAGAACAGCAGGTCGCATTTTGATGATGAAATCCTGCTGCGACAATCTCACAGAAGAGCCGTCAAACAAACAGCAGTAGAAATGTTGACACGCAACAAAAAGGTAGATAGCGTCTATTATCATAACTGGACCAGCATGTGTATGCATGCATTGGCAGTCAGGGAGAGAAGGGGATACGATGTTACTCACACACACAAACACACACAAACACACACATACACACACACACACCCACGCACGCACGCACGCACACATACACACACACACACACACACGCACGCACACACACACACACACACACACACACACACACACACACACGCACACACACACACACACGCACACATACACACACACACACACCCACGCATGCACACACACACGCACACACAGACACACGCACGCACACACACACACACACACGCACACACACACACACACACACACACACACGCACACACACACACACACACACACACGTACACGCGCACACACACGCACACGCACACAGCACTATGCATGGCTTGCAATCGTTGCCCATGACCACTAACCTGTCATTCCGGCCGCTTCAGCTGCCAGAAATGATGCGTAGGACATCAGGCAAAAGAGCCCAGACTCCATCATTGGGTATTCGCGGATTTTACTCAGTTTGGTGAAGTGCAGTTGGAAGGTGAAGTTAAGGCACAAACACATATTTTGGTGGCATTCACCTTCGTACTATTTCCATCACTTGATGGTAAATACATGTAGGTATGCTAAAGGACCCTGGATAACATTAGACCCTAGCTCTACGCTGATCCTCTAACACGATTGCACCATCCGTGACTACAGGATATCAAACTAACCGTGACATGAGGAAACCAGAGTTTGTCCCGTGTTTTGGTTTAAAGGGGAAGTATACCCTAAAATCAAATTTTCACCAGTTGTAGTCTTCGGGGTGCTGAGTCCAATGGTCTTGGTCCGAGGAAGCTGCGACGCTCCCTTCCTACTTGAATCCCAATCGAACTCGCGCACTTCCACCGAAACTGGGTGACTGCGCCCTACTAGATGGGGATTTGTATGCAAAATGTCACTAAAAGCGCCATTTCGTTCTTATAAAAGCACGGATGACCGCGATTGGCCCATATGTTGTAGTCTTTTGGACGCTGAGTCGACTGGTTTTGGTCCGAAAAGGCTGCGATGCAGCGTTCCTCCTTTATTCCCAATCGAACATGGTTGAAGAAGCGGTCACGTGCTCCTGCGTACACCAGTCACCTGGTCACCGTGCCTGCAGGGTACAACTTACTAGCCTGTTTGACCTTTTTTGGGTGCAGTCCTGTCACTCGAGTTGAACCTTGGTGTGAAAGTTGTCGCCTGCTGGCGCGGTGACCAGGTGATTTGGGCAACCAGGACCACGTGACCGCTTCTTCAACCATGTTCGATTGGGAATAAAGGAGGAACGCTGCATCGCAGCCTTTTCGGACCAAAACCAGTCGACTCAGCGTCCAAAAGACTACAACATATGGGCCAATCGCGGTCATCCGTGCTTTTATAAGAACGAAATGGCGCTTTTAGTGACATTTTGCATACAAATCCCCATCTAGTAGGGCGCAGTCACCCAGTTTCGGTGGAAGTGCGCGAGTTCGATTGGGATTCAAGTAGGAAGGGAGCGTCGCAGCTTCCTCGGACCAAGACCATTGGACTCAGCACCCCGAAGACTACAACTGGTGAAAATTTGATTTTAGGGTATACTTCCCCTTTAAGTAGTGAACTCTCTCTCTCTCTCTCTCTCTCTCTCTCTCTCTCTCTCTCTCTCTCTCTCTCTCTCTCTCTCTCTCTCTCTCTCTCTCTCTCTCTCTCTCTCTCTCTCTCTCTCTCTCTCTCTCTCTATCTCTCTCTTCCTTGGCTGTGCTCACCCAACACCAACAAGAGAGCCAGATACCTACCGTATTTTCCGGAGTATAAGTCGCACTCCCCCCCCCCTTTTTTGCCACGAAATACAGACATCTACTATAGTTATCATCGTTAATTTGATGGTCAGAGTGTAAGCCGCACCCCCCCCCCCTTCTTTGGGGTGAATTTTGAGTGTTCAACGTGCGGATTATACTCCGGACAATACGGTAAAGAAGTTCTTGTAAATACAATGCAGTAGGGCACGATGCTGCATGGGATGACAACTACACCGGAGCTTAACTTGAATGGTAGAGCATCACTGGACAAAAGCAATGGTCCCAGGTTAATAGTTTGGTCCTGGTGGGGGCAGTCAATGTTTCTTTAGATTCTCCCACTCTAAACTCCCTCAAACTCATCAATGAACGATGGCATTGTTACTGAATGTGAGGATATCAAAGCGGTAATGAAACCCATGAGAACGCCGATCAGGAACGAGCCGACAAAGATACCGATGAACAGGCCGACCGACTTCAAGACGGCAACAAAATCAAATCCACTTGGATACTCGTTTGACGGCGAGTATGCACTTATGGACCTACAGCAGAGGGCACACATACACACCGACAAAGAGGAGCATTCAAGGATGATTATTATTAGTATTTGAAACTCGGGTATTGAGCCTTTTGTGCCTTTTGTGCCTTTGTGCCTAGTTGTTGCACTTTCTGACTGTATATAGTATCTAGTTACAGTGGTGGAGAGTTACTCTTAACTCGTTTCCATATGTCCTTTTCCTTTCTACTTTTATAATAGCTATAAAGAGAACAAATTCTGCTGTCATCGCCACACTACAACAAAGTCATGAAGGTTTACCAAAATCGATTTTCTTGTCACAATCATCAGTGGAAAGCCGTGACTGAAGAATAACCATGCCAAATCAATAATTTATATACATTCAATAATGTGTTACGAGAACAAAACAAAGTGCTAAAAATAGAATGAGGGAAGGTGAGACAATAGAAGTAAAGTGAGAGCTAAGTGCAACAGGGGTGAGGAACTAATTGCAACGCTAGAACTATGTAGTGAGACAAACAATCATGCTGTGCACCTACGAAAACAATCTTAACGCAACTACATGTTTCTTCTGCTTACAAAGATCAGGCTTATGCAAACGAATACAAACAGCCTCAAGTACTTTCAACTGACTAGCGTACCGTGCACGACAAAGAACAGAAAAACTAAAATCATCATACACCTGCAGACACTTAGGGTGAGACAACAGATGAAGAAAAACGGCAGACTTCTTACGATCACAATCACCATCCGATTCCTCGTCTCCACCAACCGCAACCTCGTCCCCCGTCTCATCTTCCAACTCATCCCCAGTGTCGTCCTCCGTGTCATTCTCCTCATCACCACCGATCGGTCCCAGGCTCGCTTCACGTTGCTGAACCTCTGTTCGTTGACTCCTCCTTTGATCTTGATGGTAATTTGTTACCATTGTTGTTGTTGTCATTGTTGTTGTTCCTGTTGTTGCTAAATCTTCTGTTCCCAGTGTCTTCGCCGGTGCTTGACATCCAGTACTGTAATAATTCATTGAATAATTAGCCGTTGATCGTCTAGGTCTTTGAATGTTGATCGTGTTGTTTTCTCTGTTGAATTCCGTTTCCTTCAGCCTTCTTTCTTCTTGTTCATGTTCAGTGCTTACCTCATCCATATTTGCCCGTTCCAGCGACACCACAGACTCAGCCCCAGCACTGCCGATGGCAGATGCAGGTGGCGGTTCTGGGGGAGGCAACGGCAACGATGGCGATGGGGGCATCACCATGATCACCTCGCCGCAGCGTCCACTTTGGTCTTGAGCTGGATGTTGTTGTGGTGTACTTTCTTGTGTTGTTATGGTGCATTGTGTTATAACGTTAGTGACAATGTGCACATTATCCATCTCCACGGCTCTCGATACGGGTAATGGAGGCACTATTGCCGTCGACGGCAATTGTGCTAACGATGGCTCTGATCGAGGGTTCTTAGGTGGCCTGCCGCGTTTGGGTCGCAGTGCCCGTGCCGAGCCAGTCAGCATGTGCAGTGGGACGTGCTGCTTGATACGTGCGTTCAGATGTTGAAGAGTCCTACCAACGTACCGACTACCGCATTGTCGGCACTCAAATTGGTATACCAATTTAGATGCGAGTTGGGTTGGTAGGACATCCTTCCTCACCGTGAACGCACGTACAGTTGTGAAAACCGGTACAAAATGTACCGCGTAGTACGTTTGTTGTACAATTTTGCGGACCACGCGCTCATGGATAATGAGAGGTTACCTTTCCAAGGGAGAGAAAGATACGTGGGACATTTGTCCGGGCCAAAACGTATTTCCTTTCTATGCAGCCTTTCGCTCATGAGCTCCTTCAAGAGATCGTCGGGATACCCGTTCTTTAGAAAAACTGACTTTAGGAATTCCAGTTCCTCAGCCAGTTTGGAAGAGGAGCAAATACGGTTTGCTCGATCCACCAAGTTACGCACTAAATTCACCTTGTATTGGTACGAACAATACGAGTCAAACATTATGTACTGGCCGGTGAATGTAGGCTTTCTGTACACAGATGTTACTGTACCCTGACTAGACTTTTCCACAAGGACGTCTAGAAAGGGAAGTTTGTTCGCTTGTTCGTGCTCACAAGTAAAGCGTATGGAAGGATGTAGGTCATTTAGAATACCAAGAAAGATTTGGCTATCTTCAAGAGAATCGAACCAGGTGAAGGAATCATCAACAAAACGAACGTACAATGCTGGCCACAACTGTTCTGCAATCAGTGACTCGCAGTAACCAACGAACACATTCGCTAATACTGGACCTAATGGGGAGCCCATGGCTACCCCATCAACCTGCCTATACATAATGTCACTGAAGGAAAACTCCACACCAGTCGTCACGAGCAACATCAGTTCCCGGAATGCCGTCTCCGATATCCACGGCGTATCAACTTCATCATTTCGGTACAACACATCTAGGCAAATATTGATAGTCTCTTCTAACGGAACGTTCGTGAATAGACTCACAACATCAAACGAGCACATATGCGCGGAGGCCGGAACTGGGTGGGAGCGAAGGACGTCAATGAATTCGAAGGTGTCTTTAACTGTATGTTTGCAATAGAACTTTTGCACGATGTCAAGCCAACCACACAGCCATTTAGAGATATTATATTGCGGTGATGCGACCATGGATAATATGGGGCGCAACGGACAGTTCGCTTTATGTATTTTTGGGAGCCCATAGAGACGTGGTCGGACGGAACCAATGGGCCGCATTTTGAAGAACTCTTCCTCCGATATCTGTTTACTTTCTTTAAGTCTCTTGAGAAAACTATTCAACTTTTTCTCTACCCGAACTGTGTTGTCATGAGTAGATACTGGACCGAGTTGGACAAACTTACTTGTGTCCTCAAGGATGACCGCCATTTTTGTATTGTACTTTTGTGTGCTAATAATAACTGTAGCTCGACCCTTGTCTGGTCTTGTGATTCTAATATCGTTGTTGTTCATTAGAACACGTCGAGCTTTAAGGTGTTCTCTGGATAATGAAAATGTGCTTCGGTCTGGAGGTTTTTCCGCGTGTTCTTCGGCGATGGCTCGAAGATTAGCCGTACAGATAGCACGCTGATTTTCAGACACTGGTGTAAAATTCTTCATGAGTTTTGTGTGGAACATTTCGAATTGTGTAAGGACCATTTCCTTTCTGTTGTTAGAAGGAGGAATACCAAACTCCGTACCCCGGCACAGCAATTCCTTTTGCACCGGAGATAGTTCAATGTTGGCAAGGTTAATAATCGTGTCCATGTTGGGCTTAAAGGAGCCATACAGCTTTGCACACAGCCATTTGATGTTTTTCTCGTACTTAGCGAGGAGTTTGACTTGCTGTTTGCTGTCATTCTCCGCCAGTAGTGTACTGAATCTGAGGTAGTCGTGATAGGAGAGGAACGAACGAGCCGAACTATACAGACGTTTAAATTGAGACCTAGCAGAACACAATGTGTCAGTAGAGCGCGCAATGTCGTCTTTGAGGAATACTCGTTCTATTGCTAATGAGTGATATGCACGGGCTTTGTGCACCCGCTTCTGGATGGAAGTAGGGCACACTCCATTTTCCTTACAGCGTTTCATGAAGATAATATTATGTGAAATGTTTTTAGCCACGTAGCGTTTGCGCAGAGCATCATTCAGGATTTCAACCTGATTCCTAGAGTATCTCCGTTTAAAATATGTAAATATTCGACGCGGAGACAACAATTTTATAATAGCTACAAAGAGAACAAATTCTGCTGTCATCGCCACACTACAACAAAGTCATGAAGGTTTACCAAAATCGATTTTCTTGTCACAATCATCAGTGGAAAGCCGTGACTGAAGAATAACCATGCCAAATCAATAATTTATATACATTCAATAATGTGTTACGAGAACAAAACAAAGTGCTAAAAATAGAATGAGGGAAGGTGAGACAATAGAAGTAAAGTGAGAGCTAAGTGCAACAGGGGTGAGGAACTAATTGCAACGCTAGAACTATGTAGTGAGACAAACAATCATGCTGTGCACCTACGAAAACAATCTTAACGCAACTACATGTTTCTTCTGCTTACAAAGATCAGGCTTATGCAAACGAATACAAACAGCCTCAAGTACTTTCAACTGACTAGCGTACCGTGCACGACAAAGAACAGAAAAACTAAAATCATCATACACCTGCAGACACTTAGGGTGAGACAACAGATGAAGAAAAACGGCAGACTTCTTACGATCACAATCACCATCCGATTCCTCGTCTCCACCAACCGCAACCTCGTCCCCCGTCTCATCTTCCAACTCATCCCCAGTGTCGTCCTCCGTGTCATTCTCCTCATCACCACCGATCGGTCCCGGGCCAGGCTCGCTTCACGTTGCTGAACCTCTGTTCGTTGACTCCTCCTTTGATCTTGATGGTAATTTGTTACCATTGTTGTTGTTGTCATTGTTGTTGTTCCTGTTGTTGCTAAATCTTCTGTTCCCAGTGTCTTCGCCGGTGCTTGACATCCAGTACTGTAATAATTCATTGAATAATTAGCCGTTGATCGTCTAGGTCTTTGAATGTTGATCGTGTTGTTTTCTCTGTTGAATTCCGTTTCCTTCAGCCTTCTTTCTTCTTGTTCATGTTCAGTGCTTACCTCATCCATATTTGCCCGTTCCAGCGACACCACAGACTCAGCCCCAGCACTGCCGATGGCAGATGCAGGTGGCGATTCTGGGGGAGGCAACGGCAACGATGGCGATGGGGGCATCACCATGATCACCTCGCCGCAGCGTCCACTTTGGTCTTGAGCTGAATGTTGTTGTGGTGTACTTTCTTGTGTTGTTATGGTGCATTGTGTTATAACGTTAGTGACAATGTGCAACATCTGAACGCACGTATCAAGCAGCACGTCCCACTGCACATGCTGACTGGCTCGGCACGGGCACTGCGACCCAAACGCGGCAGGCCACCTAAGAACCCTCGATCAGAGCCATCGTTAGCACAATTGCCGTCGACGGCAATAGTGCCTCCATTACCCGTATCGAGAGCCG